TGTTACTCCATTACTTTCTCCATTTATTCATTCATTCGTTCTAGCGAAGCACATACAACTGTAACAACAACAGCAACAACACTCACTCAATATCTCGCCTTTGGACGTCATTCTTCCATTACTTTTGCATTGAGAGAGAGATGAGGGAGTCCATCGTCTCCATCCGTTCTGTAGACCAGGTAACATGGCAAGATAAACGATTCTGGCTCGGTGTTAGAGGTTTGTTGTTGCTCGTTGTTCTTTGTTGTTCTTATGCAAAGAACGAATACATGCACACGAACGCACGCACATACACACAGACCCATACAGCGCGACACACAACATCGCCCGTTCGGTCTTCTGCTGGCAAGTCTACGACAACATCGTCAAAAAGTTCCTCTTCACATTTTTCCACTTTCGGAATGTCGCCGCCGAAACTCGTTCGCCGAACTCTTTACTGCCATTCGTCATTTCTCAATCTTACGTCATAACGACCGGAAGTAAGGATGGGGAGTTGGAAGTTGATAATGTGGCAGATGAAAAGCTAAAGAATGCTCGATCTTTGCTTTCCTCGTATGAGCGATCTTTGTTGACATATTTTTTTGGTAATATCAACTATAGGACCAGCTTGGTGAGTTTTGGTTGGTTAGGTGATCGGATAATAATAATAATAATCGTCATAATCACCATCATCCCAATCATCATCATCATCATCCTAATCATCATCATCCCAATCATCATCATCCTAATCATCATCATCCCAATCATCATCATCATCCTAATCGTCATCATCCCAATCGTCATCATCCCAATCGTCATCAGCCCAATCATCATCATCCCAATCATCATCATCCTAATCATCATCATCCCAATCATCATCATTCCAATCATCATCATCCTAATCATCATCATCATCCTAATCGTCATCATCCCAATCGTCATCATCCCAATCGTTATCATCCCAATCATCATCATCCCAATCATCATCATCCCAATCATCATCATCCCAATCATCATCATCCCAATCATCATCATCCCAATCATCATCATCCCAATCATCATCATCATCATCCTAATCATCATCATCCCAATCATCATCATTATCCTAATCGTCATCATCCCAATCGTCATCATCCCAATCATCATCATCCCAATCATCATCATCCCAATCATCATCATCCCAATCATCATCATCCCAATCATCATCATCCCAATCATCATCATCCCAATCA